TCTTCACTTTGGTGTTGGGCAGGCACTTCTCAATGTCGTTGTGCCAAGCCGAAATCCGGGCATTGAACCACTCGATGCACCAAGAGCTGCTGTTACGCCCAAGGCGGCTTTCAGCCCCTTGCCTTGCCATGGTCCCGTAGCAGATCCCAACGCCACAGAAGTTGTTGCGCTCCAGCTCCACCTCCCAGTAATGGATCCCTCTCTTGAAACACTGGAAGCCTTGCACTTGGGAGCAATATGTGAAGCGCTGAGGATGCGGGGGGTACATCTGGGTGTTGTCTGACACAGATATTTTGGTGTTTTTCTCCGATAAAATCACCTTGCTATGTGCTGTATGGAAATCCAGGGTGAATTTTGTAGCAACTGCAGGGGGGGGGGGAATTGATGGGAGACGTGAGATGAACAAACACTTATGTTTACAGAGCAAGACAAGTACAGGCATACAAGGGAGAGAAAGCACAATAATCTTGTTCCTGACTCTTTGAAAGTGACTATCTTCTACTTGGTCCTCAGATTCCTTGTCTGACAAATCACATGCCATACCAAGCCAATAGCATGAGAATAAAAGCACAGTACCAACATTTGGTTAGCATACAGGAGTAGACTCAGGTGGGTAGCCGTGTTGGTCTGAAGCAGCAGAACAAAGTTTGAGTCCACTGGGACCTTTAAGACCAACAAAGTTTTATTCAAGGCATGAGCTTTCGCGTGCATGCTCACGTCTCCAGAAGTGTGCACATGAAAGCTTATATCTTGAATAAAACTTCGTTGGTCTTAAAGGTGCCACTGGACTCAAACTTTGTTACCCAGGAGTAGGTAAGTCCTGGATAAGAGATTTTGAAGATAACCAATGTTGAGCCAAGTATGGGGGACCACAGTCTCCAGTATATGAAAATATGGCTTCACAATCCAAAAAGCATCTCCTTTCTCACACTGGGGAACAGCAGTGGGCTCCATTGCTCTTCGCCCTCGACTATAAACGATAATGTTCCTCTCCCTTTTCCATGATGCAACACACATGCACATCTGAGTTTGCCGTTTAGCACAAGGTTCTCTGTGCTGCTAACCGATGAAAAAAATATAACTGAGATTTCAAAAAGATGGATACAACACGGGAAAATCAATAGGAAATTTACTTGTGCTGGCATACACTCTCTTCCATTAACAATTTACAGAATGTGGCAATCTTTTCCATAAACGGTATTTGTTATTAGCTTAGCACATTAACCGCTACTTTTGGAAAGAAACAAACATTGTGATGAATGGGTACCATTTGAGATAGTCATACAGCTATCTATCAGATTAATAAATACAGCAGGCGCGGTTTTAAAGGATTCAAATATGCATCCCAACCCGTATCAGTGTAAATGAGGAAAAGCCAGGCTCAGTGCCAGAGCACCACCTATGGATGTGGAATGCCCCAGGTTCAAGCCTTGGTATCTTCAGTTAGAAAGGATCACAGATGGCAGGGCAGGAAAAACCTTCGCAAACCACAAGGCTCAGTGCCAGAGCACCACCTATGGATGTAGAATGTCCCAGGTTCAAGCGCCTTGGTATTTTCAGTTAAAAAGGATCACAGATGGCAAAGCAGGAGAAACCTTCATAAACCACAAAGATCCAGAAAGACTATTATAATCAACTGGTAAAAGGCCAGTTGGAGGGAGGAGAGAGGTAAAGGGCGCACCATTCTAATATTCTTCCCACTACCAATGTTCCTGTTCATTACTGATGATGATGCTTTTAAGCATAATAAAAAGCATTTATCCATCACCTCCATCCGCCCACAGAACCTACTCTTCCTTCAAGAAACACAGGGGGGCAAGCATGATTTCCCCTCTTCCGTTTTATCCTTATAAAGGCCCGATGATCCTGACCTGGATGGCCCAGGCCAGCCCAATCTTGTCAGATACTGTAAGCTAAAGCAGGGTCAACTCTGGTTAGTATTTGGATGGAAGACCAGGGTTGCTACGCAGAGGCAAGCAATGGCAAAACGCCTCTGAACGTCTCTTGCCTTGAAATCACTATGGGGTTGCTGTAAGTTGGCCACAACTTGATCACAGTTTACATCACCCAAAGTCCTGTGAGTTCAGTCAGGCTGAAAAACCTCCAAGATCAATTCTAGTGAGCTTCATGTCCAAGTGGGGGGCATGACCAGCATCCTAACCACTACTCCACACTGGCTCCCTTTCCAATCCTGGCCTTCCTCCTACTGCCCCCCCCCCAAACCCAAAACCCCTAGACATGGACTAAGAGATAAGTAATGTTGCATTCAAGATGAGATATGTGCACACCGGCACTGAAAACACACTGACCCATCCACTCCTAAAGCCTCCTCAGCGGCAGCTGTGTTACACAACTTGATGGATGGTGACGGGCAAGTTCTGCCTCCAATGCAACTCTGTTCCTCAAGCAAAATGCTTTATTTTCCTACACAGGAGTACATGGGTGCCATTCCCTGCTGTGGCAGAAAGTGAAAGGGGATGTCACTGGACAGAGAGGAAGCGAAATCTGTTCTTCACCATGCCAACTAATAAGAACAAAGGTGACTTTTCTCTGCCCAGCTGCATTCTGGATTCTGTTTAGTGACTGCATCGGAAAGTGGAGGAATACTGGGAGACTGCTTGGAACAAAAGCAATTGGGATCGAAAGAGCCGGGTCACTTACATTCCAGGAGCTCCTCTCTCGATTTACTTAAAAAGGTTTCCAGACTTCCCGACTGAGTTCCAGGTTGAGGTCTGCTGGAACTACGTGCTCTCTGAGAAGGACTTGGAGCTATAGTTATAGAATGCAAAAAATTGGGGAACACAAACACAAGGGAATGACAAACAGAAGTCTTCACTGAGCATACCAAAAAAGGCAACTCATTTTCCATTTTATATAAAACTACAACAAAAGCATCTTGCAGCAAAAAAGCCAACCAAGTTCAATCAAAGATTAGCCTAGTGGTTTATTTCCATGTCCTTCTGGCTCAAGACTGCTCACCAGACTGTTGACAAACTACAGGACAGGAACATTTACATGGCCCATCCAGAACCTGAACCAAAGTGGGTTTATTTGCCCCCAGCCATGCTGCAGCAGATCTCACTAGCAGCAGGCATTCCTCTTCAGACATTCACAGTGCTTTGCACTCCAGCGCCACTGAATGCCTCTCCCACTCCCTCTGGTGGCTTGCTTATAGAACTATGATGTGCTTTGGAACTGTCAGGGAATTCACAGTTGCCATTTCACCCTGCTATAAAAGTGGCAGGAGGAAAGCGACATTAAAATCATGTAGCAACATTCCCAAAACGAACTCCACCCCTACCATTTCACAAGAGACGAGCTCCAAAGGCTTGACAGTGTTTGTTCTCGCTACCACCCTGCAAGGTGGGTCATCACTTCTCATTTTACAAATCGAGAGCTTGACACACAAGACTGTTGGGAAATGGGAGATCTGAATCCCAAATTCATACATTCGTGTCCTATCCTTTCCGCAACGGACCATGGAGTGAGCAGTTCTGCTAGCTCAGCCCCCTGATCCTGCAGAGTTTCAGAGGGCAGCTCTGCTGGTCTGCAGCAGAAGAACCAGATTCCAGTCCAGTAGCACCTGGAGAGGCCAACAAGGTTTCCAGAGTCAAAGCAGGTAACTGATGAAGGGAGCCTTGGCTTTCAAATGGTTATCTTGCTGGTCTCTAAGGTGCAGCACACATTCTCCTGAAATCAGTGGAATTTCCTCCCAACCTATCCATACAGAAACGGGGTTCAGCTGTTTCTCGGATTTAAAGTACCACCATATATTTTCAGGAAAGGGGCTTTTGCAAAACTGAACTTACTGCGTTTAGCAGGTCGCCTTCTTTGCTCTGAAAAACAGAAAGAGGAAATTTAGTTACTCTGAAAGAAGGAAAACCATTTTCTGACCAGTTTTCTCAGAACATGGAAAGTGCAACTAATGACTAAGGATGATGGCAAGGCTAGCTGTGAGGATTACTCATGGAGACAGCTACCAGGAGGTTGATAAGTACTTTACTACTTTAACCAGCAACACAGTTGCAAAAAAAAAAGAAAAAAAGTTGAGGTAATGTATGACAGCCCACCTCAGCTGGGGAGTTTGACCTAAACCCTCTGTTTGTGTCAATGGCCTGCCATGACTCAATGGCAGGGAAATGTACTCTGCACGACTCCTGTTTTTACATGACATGAAGGAAGGGCTGAACCCAAGCATTAAATATAACAGCAACAATGAGACACCACTCGAGGTAAAGGCCTCTTTCAGGCAAACCCTTGCTTTTGGCCAAGCCATCAAGTTGTTTGGGAGGGTCTTTATATACTTAAACATGAGAGCCGGTGCGGTGTAGTGGTTCACATCACATCATGATTGGAGAGACCCAGTTTCAGTTCCCTTCTCTGCCATGAAGGTTGCTGCATGACCTTGAGCAAGTCACACTCTCAGGGCCACGGTGAGGAAAGCAGATGCATGCATTTATTTATATCCCGCTTTTCTCCCAGTTAAGACTCAAAGCGCCTTAGAACATTGTTCTCCCCTCCTCCTTTTACTTGCAAAAACAACCCTATGAGACAGACCAGGCAAGCTGAGAATTTGTGATGGTCCCAAGGTCACCCAGCGGGCTTCCATGGCAGAAGTGCAGGTTCAAACCCGAATCCCCCCGGAGTCTAGCCCAACAGTCTATCCACTACACCACACTGGCTCTCATCAGTGATCAGTGTATGATACCCTCAGCTGTCGGGAGGAAGGGTGGAATAAAAATGTACTAGACACAGTTATCTTGGACAATTATAAGGGCTTTGACATCAGAAACAGGACTAAACACCAGTCAAGTAGATATATCTTTGGCAAGGAAGATCTAACAAAGAACTTTAGAATTCCCTCTGCCTACCAGAAAGTTCACCCACCCAAAGACTTCAGTAACACGCAAAGCTAAAGTCAGACCTAACTCTCAGCTTTTAAAGAGCCAGTTTGGTATAGTGGTCAGAATGTCAGGCTTGGGAGACCTAGGTTTGAACCCAGCCGTCCCCTGCCATGGAAGCTCACTCTGGGCCACAGTCAACCTCACCTACACACATGAACACATGAAGCTGCCTTACACTGAATCAGACCACTAGTCCGTCAAGGTCAGTCTTGTCTACTCAGACTGGCACTGGCTCTCCAGGGTCTCAGGTAATAGTCTCTCACATCACCTTTGAACTGGAGATGCCGGGAATTGCAGGTGTATACAGAAGTATACAAAAAAAAGAGCAGGAAGACCGGGAATTGAACCTGGGACCTTCTGCAAAACAAGCAGACACTCTCCTCCTGAGCCAAAGCCCCTTTTCACAACCTAATGTGTTGTGTGAGGATAACATGTAGGAGAAGAGACTGATTTGAATTGCTTTGGGGAGAAAGGCCAAAAATACAGAAGTATACAAAAATATTCATAGTGACATTATTTAAACTATCATGCAAACTGCAAAGGGCGTTATTACATTTAAAAGACGTACAAAATACAAGAGGGGAGAAAAAAACAAGTTCTGTTTACGTTCTTCAAGGTTGCTTTTGTATTCTTGGCTAATTATATTGTTGGCAGCCTCCTCCTTGCCTGTTTGCTCTTTGGGGAGAAAGGCAGCATATGAATGCAGAAAAACTATGCAGAGCAAGAAGATGGGGAAGCCCCACACCTGCACCCTATGCCATGGTCCCCCAGCACGATCAGGCCCGTGACATTTTGAAAAGTTAAAAAACAAGCGCTAAAATGGCCCCAAGTCCCCTTGACAGACCCCAAGTGTGGTATTGTCTAACTTGGCCCTTCGGCAGAGAAAGGTCTTTCCCAGCACTTGTTAGTGAAACCACATAACTCAGGACTGGAGCCAGGACTTTCTGCATCCAAATCCTGTGTCCCACCACCTCTCCCTCCCCAAGGGATGACGCCAGTGCCAAAACCACAGCAGCTGTCCTGCTGATTGCACAAGACACTTGCATTATAAGGTTTTTTGCCAGAATTAGGCACAGCTGCACTCGCAAAGCAGACAGCGTGGCTGAAGATATGGAGTCATGCAATGGAAAGAGTTGAGCTTCCTATTGAAAGCGAGTGAGGCCAGGCAAGAAAAGTGCAAACTTAAACTGCATCTTTAAGCACAGTCAGGGTAATGGCCCACCACTGTAGCTGCAAAACCACCGCTAAGGTTGTATGGTGTTGTGTCAACATCTGGATAGACCTTGACTTTCTTAAGCCTTTGTTTCTATGCAAGACAGTGGGATTCACTACAACCTGGAGAAAAATGTCTTGCCCCTTTAAGAGAGGCTCAATATGTGGAAATGGGCAGCTGAAGCTTTGCATGGGATAGAGGTAAATATAATCACCTGGTAAATAACACCCCTTAGTAACAGAGAGCAAGATCACTCCATCTTATTCTGTGATTGATGGACACCACTCAGAGACCTCTGGATGACACCTATCTTGAGTAAGTATCAGCTACCTGTCAAATCCCATGTGATCTCTTTTTTTGCTGGCAGACACCCATTTGGAAACAACGTGCTCTGTTGCCAAATTTCTAGCGCTTGTGGTTTCTCTGTGCCGTTACACAGATGGGTTTTAATTAATCATGTTGTACTTTAATATTTATTGTTGTGTATTTTATCTTGTATTTGTTTTGGCTTTTCTCAAGAGCTTTGGTCAAAGAAGTGTAATAATAAAAGGAATGACATCCCCTTTAAGCCTCTGTTAAAGGGGCAGGACATTTTTTTCTCTCCTCCGGGTTGTTGGCAACCCTAGCTGTGTCTGAGGAGTGTGTTTCACTTCTCGATTGTTTGTCAAACTAAGGTGTGTCCCAGCAACCTGCCTTCCAGAGCCTACTAGGAACTCAGTGATGCAGCCAGCACCCCATCCAGTCACCTTTGTACTGCTGCAAGCCAGAGCAGCACACACCCATTTGCACAGTTCTGTCAGCACACAGTATAGCACAAGCAATAAAGCAGCTGTTTTCCCCCCAACTAGCTAACACTGACAACCGCTCTACTTGAGGTAAATTAGCACATCGAGATGAAGTGGGAGTGAAATGAGACTGATGATAGAGTCTGACCAGAACGTAGTTATTAAAAACTATTTAAATCTTTGGGAATGTGAGGACCCACTATTCAAAAGGTTAAGGTGCTAGTGCCCTAACCTGGATGGCCCAAGCTAGCCTGATCACATCAGCTCTCAGAAGCTAAGCAAGGTTGGCCCTGGTCAGTACTTGGATGGGAGACCGCCAGGGAAGTCCAGGGCCTCTGCGCAGAGGCAGGCAATGGCAGAACCACCTCTCTTAGTCTCTTGCCTTGAAAACCCTACAGGGTCGTCATGACAACCTGATGGCACTTTCCACCACCAAAGCAGCTAGAAGTTCAACAGATATTTGCTTTTCTAAAAAGAGTCCGTTTATAATGCCTACGGCTGCTTTATGAGCTTTTGAAGTACAAGCTGCTTCTCATCTGGTCTATGAATTCCCAATTGGGGTAATACTGCGAGAAACAGTTCTCACAGAGTAACTTTGTTCTTTCTGCCAGGTTAACGTTACAGCTGCCATTTTGTCTATGGATGCTACACGACTTCATCAGCATCTACAATCATGTTTATGATCATGAGGAATTGGCTACAACTGACGGAGAGTACAAGACTACTGAGATTCTGTCTTAAGAATATCACTGTTAGAAACCAATCAAGAATTTAGCGACTTATGGAGGTGTGGGTTTTCTGAGGAGATACTGGCAGAGCAAGGTTTCTCTAGAAATAAATCCCAAATAAAGACTGGATCAACCAATAACTAGTGTCAAGATCTTACAAAGAGTGATAAAGGTGGATTCGATCCCTGGCACTCCCAATTAAAGGATTTTAAGTAGCAAATGCAGGGGGCAAAGACCTTGCTCCGCTTGAAACTCTGGAAAACTACTGCCACTCACAGTAGACTTTACTGAACTGGACGGACCAATAGTCTTACTCATTATGAGACAGCTTCCTATGTCCAGTCACAGAGCTGGGAGGGACCAGTAGCCCATTAAGAATAATCACCAGCCTAAAGGCAGGAAAATCCAAAATCCAGACTACTGTTTGTCACACAGCCTAGAAAGGCAAATAATGGTCCAAATTATTGACAGATCCAATAACTCCAGTAAAATTAGGGACTGCCTCTCCTTCAGATCTATGGGAAATCTATGCAGTCTGGAATACACCTTCCTAAGATATGAAACATAAGGACAGGCTGTTCCTCCTTGAAGAACTGCTCAACAATCGAACCCCTCAGGCCTAAATCCCCCCAAATCTAAATCCATCATTCTCTCTCTCTCTCTCTCATTCTGCTTTGCATACGAAGCAAACAAAACTAACACTGATCAGCACTCACTGGTGTCTGCAGCATCCTCTCCATTTGACTCCTGCGAAGACTTAGGAGCATCTTTTGAAGCATCTTTGGGAAGGAAAAACACAGACCAAAACCAAAAATCAGACATATAATTCATGAAGCAGGATTCACTAAAAAACTGAACACACACAAGGCACAATGCAATGACTTGTAAAGCAGACAGTAGTTAGCAGTCTTGAAGCAAAGGGACAAGAGTTATTTCATGCTAAGCATAGCAAATGTGGATTCCATCAGCACACACCGGTCATAAGACAAGTCCTGTGGGTTGAGACAAATCACCCAAAATTCTGCTTCCGAATATGAGGCTCTCCACTTTGTTACCATAGGTAACAGCCACTGGTATACACATATGTACCCATTCATAAGATATGCTGTACAATGTGTAGCATTTGGCATATCTGGCATTGCACAATGACAGATGCACCGCCTCCCCAGCCAGAAAGATTCTGTTCTGAAGATTCCCAGCTTCCCCAGCCACAAGCAAAACTAGTTTACTAGGTGGATGTGGAGATTTTCAGGAAAGAGTTTCATTAAAAAATAGAAAAGCTTGCATCTACCCACAGAAAACTCCTTTCTACAAACACATATTACCCTTTCAGTGTTCAGTTTATACGGTCCCTAACATTTTCATGATCAAAATTTGTAAGCCAATTTCAACCTGATGTGTCATACCTTTTATACCCCCCAAAGCTTTAGGACTCCCTCTTCTTTGAATACCCAGTTCCAGTCTCCTCACCAACAACACTTTGAAAAGGCTACGCAGACATTAATGCCAGCGATGTGCACACTCATTTAACCATTGCTTCTGTCAAAACAAAAGTAATGTGTCTTCACCACAACAAACTGCATCTATCAACATTTTCAACCCTCCTAAAAATCTATGTCCATCTCTAGCTAATATTTGCTACTAAGAAAGGAATTTGGCATGCAGGAGTTGCATTCAGTGTTCCCTCTAAGCTGAGTTAGTGTGAGCTAGCTCACAGTTTTTTAGCCTCTGGCTAACAATTTTTTGTCATAGCTCAGGAAGGATGGCCCCAGAGCAAACTAAATTTATGCAGTAGCTGAATCGCTCGCTCACAACTCTAATGCCAGTAGCTCAGAAAATAGAATTTTTGCTCACAAGACTCCACAGCTTAGAGGGAACATTGGTTGCATTATATCCTTACTTGACATAGTGTTCTTTTTGGCTGGTTGTGGGGGAGGGTTTTTTCCAGATTGCCCAAATGACATTAGCGGCTTGGGTTTCCCGGGAACGTTTCCTGCAAGGAAATTATACACATTTAGTGATATGACTGAGATCAGGCTCATTACTAGCTCTGCACTGGGCACCCCCCTGTAATATGGGAGGTGTCTGATGGGACTTCGGCATATAGGCAGATATTATTCTTCTTGAACCTAGTTCTGTGTTTGCAAACAGTTGAGAAGAAACAGGTGATGTTACAAGGTAGAGGGACACACTAGGACAATTTATGTGCCACTGCTATGCCCATTTTATAAATGAAAAGAATGTGGCTGAGATTCTCAACCTGACCAGATGATTCACACACAAATCCAAGTCAAATCTGAAAGGACCCATAGCAAAGTAATAAGTTCCAGCTCAAATGGACTGGTTGCCTTTGTCAGACTCCTTTAAGGATTCCCTATTAAACCTATAACATCATGGATAGTTACATATCAGTTTGCAAGAAGACTGTGGTTTCCTAATATGCCAAGCAATCGTTAAACAGACTTTAGAACAACCATCCCCACAACTGCTAACAAAGGTAGTCAATCTCCAAAATTTGAACATGTTTTACGCACACACACACGTATGTGTGTGTGTAAATATACTGGCATTGTCAATCCAAAATATAGTAACACATAAGGCATATGCCATTAAAAAAGGTTTATATCAAACTAAGCACCTTCTGTTTTCTTATCCTGCGACTGAGCCACAAGCTGCTTCACCACTTCTTTAAGGCCAAAGGTTTTTTGATAAATTGTATGTATCAAGTTTTGATCCAAATCTATCTTGGGGATGAATACATCTTTGATAGAGGACTGTCGCAGTTTAGCTGCCTTCTGAAATAAAACAGAAAATTGTATAAAGATTCACACTTTATGCTGCTAGGATTCCAGTTATCTTAAGTGTAGCAGGGACGCTTCACTCATTATAAGTCAACAAAGACCACAAACTTACCACCCAGCAGAGATTTCTCATGCTTGATCAAGTGTAATACTGCAAAAGTAGTACCTTTTTGCCCTCTGCCACATGTTCCCATGTGTAGTGAAAGTTGAGTCTTACCACACAGTCACACACGTGTTTCAGCAGATGCACAACCAAATCCCTATGGGATTTTTTAGAACAATTCGGTCTATAACTGTTCTGCCACAGGGCAGACCAAATGCTAGGGAATTGGACGTAGGTTGTGAGGCACTTGCAAACTATTTCGTGGATGAAGTCTTGTCGTTCCGCCACGACCTCCCTGCCACAGTTGAAACAGTGAGTGAGCTTAAGGCTCCATGCATGTCTTCGATTCCGGTTTTGGATCATTTCAGCCCGCTCAGCCTAGAGGAAGTTGACAAATTGCTCCTAGCTGTTTGCCCTAAGACATGCTGCCTTGATCCATGCCCATAGTGGCTAATTAAAGCTGGCCGTGATAGGTTTCGAGGCACCTTGAGGGAGATTATCAACAAGTCCCTCGTTGAGGGACAGTTCCCTAGGGTGCTCAAGGAAGCAGTGGCCCGTCCTCTTGAAAAAAACATCTTTGGATCCAGATGAATTGGCCAACTATTGGCCGGTTTCCAATCTGCCCTATCTGGGCAAATTAATAGAGAAGGTGGTGGTGATTCAGCTACAGAGCTTTCTGGATGACACTTCCATCTTAGACCCCTTCCAGTCCGGTTTTTGCGCTGGACACGGGACGGAGATGGCACTGGTTGCCCTCACAGACAACCTCCGGAGGCATCTGGATCAGGGCAGATTGGCAGTACTGTCGGCAGTGTTCGACACGGTTGACCATCAGTTACTGACCCACCGCCTCGCCAACATAGGAATTCATGGGCTTGCCTTGCAATGGCTCACTTCCTTTCTCCAGGGTCAGGGACAAAGGGTGGCACTAGGGGAACAGCAGTCCAGGAGACACCCACTGGATTGTGGAGTGCCTCAAAGGGCAGTGCTTTCCCAATGCTATTTAACATCTATATTCGCCCACTTGCCCAGATTGCCCGGAAGCAAAGGCTGGGGTGCCACCAGTATGTTGATGGCACCCAGCTCTACCTGGTGTTGGGCGGCCGATCTGGACCGGGCCGGAAGACCAGGCATTACAAGCCGTGGCTGGTTGGCTTAGACTGAGCGGGCTGAAACTGAATCCGATGAAGACGGAGGACCTGTGCTTGAGTCGGGGCAGTTCGGGGGCAGGGATATCACTCCCAACCTTCAATGGGGGTGCCAGCACCGGAGGTTAGGAGTTTGGGAGTGCTCCTGGACGCCTCCTTAACAATGGAGGCCAGGTCGGCGTTTTACCATCTTTGGCTGATTAGGCAGTTGGTTCCCTTCCTCGACTGCAATGACCTGGCAACAGTGATCCATGCGATAGTCACCTCAAGATTAGACTACTGTAATGCTCTCTACATGGGGCTGCCCTTGTCACAAATTCGGAAGCTGCAGCTAGTGCAGAATGCTGTGGCCAGGCTTTTGATGGGCCTCCCCAGGTGGGAGCACACCCAGCCTGTGCTGAAGACATTGCACTGGCTGCCAATAGCATACCGAATTCGCTTCAAGGTGCTGGTCCTTACCTTTAAAGCCCTATATGGCCAGGGTCTGACATACCTGTGGGACCACCTTTCCCCATATATACCCCAGAGAGCAGTACAGTCAGGGTCTCAAAATCGACTGGCCCTCCCGGGTCCCAAGGATGCCAGGCTTGCTACTACCATGGCCAGGGCTTTTTCAGTGGCAGCTCCATACTGGTGGAATGAGCTCCTGGAAGAGATCAGGGCCCTGCAGGACCTTTTACAGGTCCACAGGGCCTGCAAGACAGAGGTCTTCCATCAGGCTTTCAACCAATGAGCCAACCCCACTATTACCACCAAAAATTTTAATTACAGAGACCTGGCCCTTGGTTTTGACATCTAGCCTGTGGCGCCGCTCGTCTTAGGAAGATCACTGAGTAGAACAATTGTCAGACCTTTGTCTGCACTCCTACAGTACGCCATCCTAAGCAATTAAACATCGCCAGCACTTCATGAACTATTTATAACTGAACTGTTTTTAGATGATTTTATGTGGATTTTAATTGTTATTTATGTATTAACCAATGTTAGCCGCCCTAAGCCAGCTTTTGCGGGGAGGGTGGGGTACAAATTAAATAAATAAAAATAATTTTTCTTTGCAATACATACACCTGTCTTGGTTCGGTTCCTAGTGCTGGTTCTGACTTTTAAAATCAACAACAATATGGGGCCAAAACAACTGTTTCTTCCCATACAAGCCTGCTCTAAGTGCCCCCACCCCTTTAACATTAGGCGGGGTGGCACCCAGACAGAGGAGGTTTTCAGTGGTGGTTCCCTGTTTCCAGCACTGTATCCTGAGGGCAACCAACCCAGGATCTCTCGTCAGCCCTCTACGTATCTAGCAAAGTCTCCTGATTCTGCCTGGGCTTTTGCAACATGAGGGAAGAAATTCCTTTCTTCCTTTCCTATGGTTGACCAGAGATTCTGACTTCTCAGCTGTTCCTGGCCTGATTTTAAACACTTTCCCTGTTTTACACTGCCGTTTTAAGTTTCCAACTGATTTTAATGTATTGTTTCACCGATGACTGGCAAACCATCTTAAGCTGGACTAAGAGACCCACTTGTGAAGAGGTACTGGGACACAAAAATCCCAACTTCAAGTACAGGCTAATGGAGTCTGAACTCACTGAGATTGAGAGGGAAACAGATCTTGGGGTTGTAGCGCATAGCTCAATGAAAGTGTCAACCTAGTGTGCTGCAGTGGTAAAAAAGGCAAACTTTATGTTAAGAGATTATTAGGGTAGGGATTGAGAATAAAATGTCCAATATTGTAATGCCCCTGTATAGATCTATGGTGTGGCCTCATTTGGAATTCTGTGTACAGTTCTGGTCAGTGTATCTCAAAAAGGACATTGCAGAGCTAGAAAAAATACAGAAAAGGGGAACCAAAATGATTAGGAGGTTGGAGCACCTTTCCTATGAGAGGTGATATGATCACCATCTTCAAGTACTTGAAGAGCTGTCATATAGAGGATGGTATGGAGTTGTTTTCTGTTGCCCCAGAAGGTTGGACCAGAACCAATGGGTTGAAATTAAATCAGAAGAGTTTTCGGCTAAACATTAGGAAGAATTTCCTGACAGTTAGAGCGG